CCAGGCTATGTCTTCTGTTATGAATATCACACAGCGTTCTTCTGATGTGCAAGTAAGAAACAACTGAACAGCGCCTGCAACGGTCGCGTGGCTAGGCCAGAGGATCAGCTTGAACCGTCATGCGTGACTGCAGGCTACGTCTTCTGTTGTGAAAATCACACAGTGTTCTTCGGATGTCCAAGAAAGAAACAAGTGAACAACGCATGCGCTGCTTACCTTTCGCCGAGCAAGCTTTGAACCTCTCTCACGTCCCTGTGAGCTCGGTAGCACAGCGTTCACCCCCCAAAGCACTTGCGCAGAACCACGTCCATTCTTCGAGAGGTACTTGTGTCCCACCTCGACTGAAGACTGAGAGGCGTGTGACAAAGAACGAGATTCCTTCTGGTCGATCTTGCGAGCGATATATATTTCTTCTTTTTGGGATCCCGGACCGAGCTGAGACGTTGCATCCACTCCCCATAAACCTTGTCCAACATGCCAGAACCATAACAGAGCAGCAGAAGACTCCCCAGGACTACTGCGAAAAGAAGTTTTCATGATATTATAGATCTGAAGCTTGTGCGTCGTCTTCGTGATCCCGTGCCTCGCTGAGACGTTGCGTCCGCCCCTCCGAGAAATTCCGCAGAAAGACGTCTATTCCCTGAGAGGTAATTGCATCGGACCTGGCTCAACAAACAAAATAAAGAAAGCGCTCCCCGGTACGAATGTCAAAGATCTAAAGCTGAATATCAAAGATCTAAAGCTGAATTATTCCTTTTGCCTTCCATGCCTCGCTGAGGCCTTCTGTCCACCCGCGCAAAGAAGTTCCACAGAATGACTTCCCATCCCTGAGCGACCGTTGCGTCGGAAATGCTCCAGACTGCACAGCAACACGCGACACGAAACCAGAGCACTCCCCAACACTATAGCAAAAAGATACTTTCTTCACGCTGTCACTGATCTCCAGCTTATCTAGTCTCTCTGGGATCCCGGACCTCGCTGAGGCGTTGCGTCCACCCCCCCAAAGAAATTCCGCAGAATAACGTCCATTCCCTGAAAGGCAATTGCATCGGACCTCGACCAACGTGGAAAACAAAGTATACAACAGTTACTCAGGACTTCCCATCACTATTGTCAACAGAAACTTTCGCAAGATCAAAGATCTAAACAACAACCTATACGACATTTCAGAAGATCAAAGATCTAAAGCTTTTGTATGCTCGTTGAGAATCCCCGCCCTCCCTGAGGCGTTGTGACTATCTTCCGCAGAACCACGTTCACTCCCTCAGTCAGAGGCACTGGCGTCGGACCGGGTACAGAATGCAAAGCAAACCATGACAAAGAACCACAGTTTTCATTTTCGGCTTTGAGAGATTCTAGGCAACTATAACATAGAACCAGATGATCTCCAGCTTATCTAGTCTCTCTGGGATCCCGGACCTCGCTGAGGCGTTGCCTCCACCCCCCAAAGAAATTCCGCAGAATAACGTCCACCCCCTGAAAGGCAATTGCATCGGACCTCGACCAACGTGGAAAACAAAGTATACAACAGTTACTCAGGACTTCCCATCACTATTGTCAACAGAAACTTTCGCAAGATCAAAGATCTAAACAACAACCTATACGACATTTCAGAAGATCAAAGATCTAAAGCTTTTGTATGCTCGTTGAGAATCCCCGCCCTCCCTGAGGCGTTGTGACTATCTTCCACACAACCACGCTCATTGCCTCAGTCAGAGGCACTGGCGTCGGACCTGGCGCAAAATGCAAAGCAAACCACGACAAAGAACTACAGTTAGAGATTCTAGGCAACTATCACATAGAACCAGAGTACTAAGATGACTATTGCGACAAGATGCTTTCACGATGTCTAAGACCTTAAGCTTGTCTGTTCTCTTTGGGGTCCCCGACCTCCCTGCGGCGTTGCGTCTACCCCCCGCAGTCATTCCGCAGAATAACGTCCATCCCCTGAGAGGTCACTGCTGCATCGGACATCGAGCAAGATCGAAAACGAACTATTCTACAGAACCAAATACTGAGGCGTTGTCTCAGTGTTCCGTTGACGCACGTTCGTGCCCGGAGCCAAAAGCAATGGTGTCGGACCTGCAGCCGCAGGCCACGCGACCCGCGACCCAAAACCAGAGCACGTCCCAGCACCACTATCAAAACACTATCAAAAAAAGATCTACAGCTTATCTGTTCTCGTTGGGAACCCCGACCTTGCTGAAACGTCTGCTAAGCAAAGCTACGTCCACTTTCTCCGAGGTGATTGCGTCGGATCTTCGTATCCACTTGCAACAGACCACGTAGACTCAGGCCACAGCAGTCTTGCCTGTCAGCCTCCGCCTCTTGGCTTGTCCTGTTCCAGAAACACCAAGTGTGCGGTTCACGTAAGCATTTCCCCTCCACAGCAGCTTCTGGATGTACTTTTCCGCAGCTTGCTCATTCTGCACAGACAGACGTTCAAACAGGCTCATACGATCCACCAAAGTCTTGTTGTGCTCATGCAAGAAGCCTTCGAAATATGGGCGCTCAGGCACTCCAATGAGCCATAAATCGCTCAACTTCGTTGCTCGCGACAACATGACATAGAGGGCCAAACCGTAATCTCCATCCTTCATCCAGGGAGGTTGATTCAGAAAAGCGACCAGGCCAGATCTGGCAGTGATGCCTTGCAGTCCAAAATGAGTCAGCACTCGCTGTGGGGCCAAGGGTACCTGCGCATAAAGGAAACTAAACGAGAAAGACAGACCGACGCGACGACGATACGATGTATACCAGAGAGCCCAAAACAAGTTAGTGCGTCCCAAGCCTGTTTCCGAACAAGTCGAAGTTTCTGCTTGGGCGCAACCTCAAAGACCCAGGCCGATTGCTTGTTGAACACAGGCCTCACGTAGAAATGACCCTTGCGTACGTCGTCGCCAGGGACCTGAAACTGACCATAATCACTGTCTGCGACCTCCACCAAGACTCCAAGCGGCTGGTACTGCAGGACCACGCAAGCTGCTCCAGGTGGCGTCGGAGGTTCTTTGGGATGTAGTTCTATGCGTCGCACTATGCACGGGAGCTCGCGCGTCAGCAAGGGCTCCGGCAAGATGCACGAAATGCGCACTTCCATCCCAAGAAACAACGGACACATGCCAATCAAATAGCCAGTCTTGGTCATGTTCAAACACTGCAGAGCTGCGCTGACCTGGGCGGAAGACAGCGTGGCGTCGCCGGTGGGCTTGTCGATGGCTTGCACGAAGTACAGCCGTTCTCCAGCGTCTTCCGCCTCGAGCACTGCTCGCAACTGTTGCAACCGAGCAACCTGCTCCCAGGCAAGTGCACCCCAGTAGGCCCGCAAGAACGCCCGGCGCGAAGGTGCGGTCTGGAGGTCTTGCAGTTGCTGGACCTCGTAGACGCGACTCTGGAGTTGCGCCCAGAGTGCGTCCGTCATGGCGGTGCCTTGCCGCATGTGCTGCAAAATGGCCACCAAAGCTTGGCCGGAAGCACAAGAAGAGAAACGCCCAGTTCCAGTGAAGTGCACCACAATGCCCATGGAGTTCTTGAACAAGAGCCGCCCCAGCTCGGCTGCGTTGCTGGCCTGCTCTGGGGCTTCGGCTTCTTGAAGTTCCGTCAGCGGTAGAACCAGCGCCGCTGACGGAACTTCCACCCATTCGCAGAGGCTCGCTTGGGCGGCAGGGCGCAACTGTAGGAAGTCGCCCAATTGTAGCCCTATCGGCATCTTGCCGAACCACTCCTGCAGATAGCGGCTCAGGTCCAGCGCCCAGTTCTCACAGCGCTTCACCGAGAAGCGCAGGCCAAGAGCATGATATACATCCGCTGCGCTCATCGACAGCTCATCGACGATGCAGGCCAATGACGCCAGAATCTGTTGCTCCAGGGCATCATTTTTGTTCCGCTGCCCTCGGATGGCGCCGCGGTGTAGTGCGGAGTTGGGGGAAATGTTCGCCAGTTTGTGCAGAGTTCTAGCTTCTGCCCCCAACAACCGCGCGGCCGCGTGGGTCGGTGCCCCGGCAGTGTAGCGACCAAAGCCAAAGAAGCGCTGGAACAAAGGTCGCAAGACTTTGGTGTATGCCCACGTTTTGCCCGAGCCCCCCGCGCCAAGCCATAGACAGTTGCACCGCTCACTGGGCTGGCCATTGGCGAAGCAGGTGCTTGCTTCGGTGCGCTTCTCCCACATTTCATCGATCGTGCAAACAATGGGAGCCACAGCGCGAATCTGCTGTGCGTTGAGCGTGCACTCCTGTCGCGTGTTCGGAACACTTGCGACTTTCTCAGAACTTTCACACGGTCCCATTAGAATCTGGTCCCATTGAACAAGAAACCTCTATGCAATAAACTCTCCCAGAAACATCTACTTAAGGACACCAGTCGTTCGATCCACCCCATGATTTTCCACCAGCATTGGTCCTCCACCAGCTTCAAGGCATAGTCCCTCGGTCGCAGATTCTGCGCGTTCAGATCCATCAAGAACGGATCCGTCGCAGTCATCGCTTCCAGGCCACTCGGGACAAACTCCTCCTCAGCATCATCTGGAACACCTGGCGTATGGATCAATGTCTGTAAAAAACTAAACGACGAGTAGCTGCAAAAAAAATGCTGAGTCCAACTATATCCTCCGTCTCCGGGCGCTATCGTGATAACAAGACAAAATATTTTCTCCGACTCTCACGCGCGAGACTAACGACACCGAATTCACAGAACAAAATTATATCTCTCAAGCTCGTGTCGCACAGTGCAGAAGCTCTCAACAAAAATACTGTCTATCTGACGCAGAAGGCCTCCAGACAGATTCTCCAGGTACTGGGATTGCCGGTCAAACATGTCTTGTGCTTCAGCATAGGCCCATGCGCGACGAAGAGCACCATCCAGAGGACGCTCGCCTTCAACGTTGACAGTCACATTGGGCAAGCCACCCATGGCCTCAACCACTTGCTTCAATCTGCTCAGAGCAAACTTCGTGCGGTTGTCGCGTCCCGCCAGGCAACGCTTCCAGTCTTTCTCACGAAAGAGTACTTCTTTCAAAGCTTCTCGGCTCACAGGATGTTCGGCGCAATCCATGCGCTCTATCGCATCTTCGTGCTCGAGATCGTTCTCCACATCAGATCCTTCTATGTCCACGGGACCGACATCGTCCTCCGCGCACATGGACACTTGCCAGTGCTGCTTGTCAAACAACTACGCTACATTGTTACATACACAGAAACACGTTACCACGACTTGGCCCCCCCAAAAAATCAAACAACTACGCTACATTGTTACATACACAGAAACACTTTACCACGACTTGGCCCCCCCCCCAAAAAAGCATGTGCTGTATCCAGCTGGACACTTGCCAGTGATGCTTGTCAAACAACTACGCTACATACACAGAAACACTTTACCACGACTTGGCCCCCCCTAAAAAAGCATGTGCTGTATCCAGTACTCCTCCACGTCTTCGCCCTCCTCTTCCTTGGTCATGTAAGCAAAGCGCTCGGCTCTCCTCTGGCTGCTGCTGAGCTGTCGTGCTTCGTGGTGCAGGCGGAACCTCTCCAACCACTGCAGCTGCACATGAGACATGTGCTCCAGCGGAGTCAACTGTGTGTAGTGAAAACCACAAGGGATTCCCAAAGACCAACAAATCCTTTCGTGTATCCGAGGTAGGTCCACGTAGCGACCATGCTTGCCCTTGAAAACCTTTCCGAGACACCACATCAAATGATAGGTACTCGACAGAGGCGAAGGTGTGGAGGCGCTCGGAAACAGAATTCCCTGGTCCTCTGCATCTTCTCCTGCGGGCTCCTGCGCAGGCATCTCTTCGGAGATCTCAGGGTCTGCTCCATCCAGAAGCATCTCGTCGAGACAAGACACATCGCGCCACTCGCGTAAGCCCACCACGTCACGCAGAAAAGGTAAACTCAAGCCAGCCAAGAGTCGTTCCTGCGCATTCACCTTGCGCACCTGCACGCAAGCTTTCCATTGTTTCCAGGTCTTGGAGAAACAGGCTCGCAGGAAACCTTTCCCTTCCAACTTTTCAATCTCATGACAATGAAAACATTGCCAAGCTTCTCCACAATGCTGTGCACCCGGGCAACGTGGAAAGGGCAACGACAAACCCAGCATAAACGCAGCGTATTTCTCAGGTTCATTCTGCCCCGGAAGGCGCAAATCCACAGGCACCACAACATTGTCGTCTGCTGTTCGCAACTCCTGTCACAGGGCGCGCAGATGTCCGAGCGATGGATCCGTGCGCAGAAATAGATCCACAGGAAAGCGACCGCAGCCCAACTATATATGAATTATGTTTGTCAATAATGAAGCACCTAAACGCGTCAGCAACGAACAAGGAAAAAAACAGAAGCAACAATCCTGCACTGACAAGGGACAATGTGCGTAGTGTTCGTCAAAGGGAAAAGGGAATATTTTCATGCCATCAACACAGTTTTTGAACATGAAACACAATCAACGCAGTTTTTGAACATGAAACAACAAAACACGTCAGCAACCAAAAAAAGAAAAAGACAGAAGCAACAGTCCTGCACTGACAATTGGAAATGTGCATAGTGTTCATCAAAGGGAAAAAATTTGACGTAATCAACGCGACCAGCTTGGCTACGAGGAACTCGTCGCACATAACGAGAATACATAACCAAAGACATAGACGTCATAACGGCTGAAGCACCACGATGCAAGTAATCATCCTTCTGATTGTGCGACACAACCCTCGTGCCACCTGTCGGGATCCCACTTTCCGTCAAATCTTCCTCGTCGAATACCTCAGCAACCTCTTGCACAGGGATTGCGTCAGTCTCTTCAGCCTCCACAGGCTCCAGGGGCAGAACTTTCAAATGAGGCGCGCTGGCGGCGGCTGCGTCCAAGGCCACTGCGCGACAACGAAACATGGCATAGGGCACAAACCGAAAGAACATGTTGTAGCCACTGTAGCTGACCAGTTGCTCCTGCTGAAACAAAAGTTGGTAGGCCATCTCCCCATTGGACTTCGCAACACATCTCTGCATGCCAAAAGCAAGACGTCGCAATAAACTCAAAGCACGCAACCTGGCCACTTCTGCAGGCAACGGCGCAGCCTCGGGCACCGGTGCCGCCTCCGCCACTGCGGCGTCATGGCCGCTCGGCATGTCTCCTGACCGCCGGTATTAATATTCCTAGACCCCAAAAAAAGCACGGCGGTAAATTCGCTTAGACAACTTCTACTTTTTCCTTGGAACTGTGTTGCCAAGGGACAAAACAATCCAACAGTCAACTAACGTCCTGCATCTGACACAGCTGCCTGACGCTGTGCCTCTTCAGCTTCAAGACGCTGAACGCCGGCAAAGAGTTCCGGTAGCAGAGATCGAGACACTTCGAACTTCTTGCTCGCGTACTCCCCAGTATAAAATTGCACATCCTGCATGTCCCGAAACATATCCACAACAACTCTGTGCAACCGCGCGTCCAAGCTCTTGTCCTTCTTTTTGCGCTCCCCGTCTGGTGGCTGTGCGTCTCCGCCCTGTCCGTCTCCATCCTCTTCATTGGCAGCCAGTTTCTGCAAATCGGCATCGCAAAAACCACGTCCCAAGTATTTCACGTCGACGTTGCACCGCATGCTGACTTGAGCTATGGGATTCGACATGCCTTCGAAGGGATGGTCCCGTTGAGGTTGAAAGACATGGGGGTTCTCATTCTTCATGGCCTCCTCTTCCTCCAATGGAACATTTTCACGTGGTAGAATCATAAACTGCGCACGCTGAACTCGAGGCCATCCCTTCAAACAACGCGCGCGTACCTTCTCCAGTCCAGAGTCTTCAGTTTCTTTGTGTAGTTCGACGTGGAAGCAGCCAAATCGACATCCCCGCTTGCCTTTTGCAGCGTTCCTGAGTCAACGTTGCATGGCCGTGTCACACACAACTCTTAAGTTCAGAGATAACATGCTCGGTGACCGGTGCAGATAACGTGCTCGGTGACCGGTGCATATCAAAAACAAAACTATTATCCCTGTCCGACACCGAACTAATACTAACGACATCGGATCCGCATAACCACGTCCAGGCTACAATGCTGATGTCGTGAAACGAAAACGGCGACACTCGAACCTTGCGCCGATTGCGTAGAACGACGTCCTCCGCGCCGGGTTCGTGTCCCGTCCAAATTTCGTTCTGTTACTGCAGTGGTGATTCCGTTCGTAGCGTCTGAACAAAGTGTCCGAGGTCTATCACAAAAAACAATCTGCACCCGCCGAGGGTCTTCTTGAAACAAGACTTCGTGCACTTGTGGAAGTGATTCTGTATGACGAGGCGACGATAGTCGCGACAGAGGGCGCCCGACCAACTGGCCGCGTTGAAAGCAGCGGCCTTGCTCCTCCTGACATAATGCGGACGTAGTGAAGCGAAGCGTCCGGTCAGTCGGAGAGGTGTACTGGACTCCGTCGCCGCTTCGTGGCCGTCTGGCTCCGTTGACCTCAGTGGCGCGTCGCTGTATTGCCTTCCGCATGCAGCACGCTGATTTTCGCTCAGCGGTAGTGGACACACTTCTTGTTCTAACTGCTGACTGAGAGCTTGCTGGCTGTCGTAGCGAATACGGCTGGCTGCTTGTAGGACGGCGCGACTCCAGCGTTCCAACTCAATGACCAGTTCCCCACGCGCTGCGGTGGCCAACACAGAGCGAAGGCGATTGCCCAGGTCGTGCCCCAAAAGCACAACCAGAATATGTGGGTGCATGGAACCGCGTCCTTGCGTCTCAAGAGGGCCACAAAAGGCTGCCACATCTCCAAAGCAACCAGCATGAGTGGAAGCAGCAAAACCATCTTCGAAGTCCCTGGCAAGACCGCCTCGGAAGCTGGCGCGGGTAAGCGGCGGCAACGTGCCCAATATCTCCTCAAAGAACAAGGTCATCATCACGTCAAAAAACCTTGCTTGAGAGACTGGGTCGGCAGCTAGAATGCGACGCATTGCGCTCAGCGAGGGCAGTGCTGGTGCCTCGAGGTCCCAGGCCAGGTCGACCTCATAGGCCTCGACTCGCGAGCCCCCCTGCAGATGCAATTGCAAGAGCAGAGAAGCTCGCGAGTCCGCCAAGTTCGGTGTCACAAAAATGTGACTTGGGCCGTAATGCCACCCAGCTGCGTGGCCTCGCAGACGGATCTGAGATCGGTGACCTTCTGCGCCCAAAACGTTGGAACTGGCCTGTAGGACGCTACCCACGTCCGGGGAGCGGAGCAACTCGCGGATGTCCGCTTTCTCCCCGTGCAGCGCCATGGCCTTCAGGAGGTGCTCGGAGGTCACGGAGGCTATGACCGAGCAGTGGCGGCCGAAGCCACTCCTCTTGACATAGGCCTTGGAGGTCCGCATCAACGTCAAACGACGTTGGACATCATACAGCGTCGGGAGCAACTGCTCCTTGGGTGAGCGACGCGTCGGTGCGACCAAAAAACTTATAAATATCTATTCCTAAACGATAGTAACTGCCACAGACCCCAAAACTATACGATGTCCGAACCAACAAACAACTCAGCCACAACAGACATTAACCAGAAATCTGGTCCCCAAAAAAGATGACGCAACCACTCGTCGTCCCGAGCGGCCGACAAACTCCATCGAGGTAGTGCAGGGACCTCATCTTCAACACCTCCCTCACCGCTGTACTGGAGCTCTTCGCGTAGGAGCAAATAACGAAACACTTCAGAAGCTTCCATGCTCGTCTCCCTCTTCAAGAAAGGCACCCCGTCACCCCAAGGGAACAACGTAGGAAAAGCCATTGCCCAGGTCCCTGGCTCAAACATGCTCAGAGGGGTATCTCGAGAAGGCACCACCAACTTCTGTGGCCTGACCTCAAACATTTGCCCTTGCGCTTGTCGCTCTGTCTCCACCCCATGCGCGGCCACAGTCTGGACCTGGCGGATGCGACGAAGGACTCCACGTTCGTGCGCGCCTTCTCGACCCAGTAGATTTGCTCCTTCCATCTGCGCAGCACCCACACCCAGGTCATTGTTGGCCCGATTGCGCGCGACCAGCTCTGCATCAGTGTCATACTGTCGAGGCTTTCGACGACACAGATCCTCCACATCTCGGCAAACCCGCAACCAACGATTCTCATCGTCCGAGGTGTCATTCAGGCCGACTATGCTGGAAATCAGATGACCTGACCAAGCAGGAGTGTGCCAAGAAGTTAGCCAAGCAACGAGAGATCACTATCTGTATATGTCTATCTATATAGAATCAGTAGTTTCAAATGTGAGACGACGACCTACCAACCCACAGACCAAACGCAACTGTCCTGAGTCTTCGTGTGCTCGCTCGCCGGACTCCGCAGTGTCCTCCGCCATGCCAGCGTCGTCCTCCTCCTGCTGGCTGCTCTCTTGGCCTTGAGCGTCCGCCGGTCCCCGTTGTAAGAGCTCTCTCGCCAAATAGCTGTCTGCGTCCGTCTCAAGGACACAGCCTTCAAACATAGTCTCCTCCTGGCCAGACCATCGACTGAGATCGACCGCTGCCTCCGCGTAGTACTTGGAAGTTTGTCGGAGGCGCTCGACAGCGGCAACGTATTCCTCTCGAGGTGCCTGCATCGTGGCCGACGATCGCAGGTCGCCTCTGTTGTGGCCCACCAAGACGAACAAGATGTGCTCGGCCATGTCCTCTGCGCGGGGTGGCAACACTGCTTCGACTGAGGAAGGACTAGCTTGCGGCAAAAAGATGGTGTTCCCGATGAAGCCCTTCTGCCGTTCGGCGTGGGGAAGCACCACCGGCTGCAGGACGGTGACCTGCATGCACACACGCACCAGGGGCAAGAGCCGCTTCGTCCCCGCGGAGAGGGAACGAAGCTCTGGCAAGGCTCTGCCAAGCCACAGGTCATTCGCCAGGGCGTGGCGCGGCAAGGTCAGAACCTGGGCTGTCAGGCTGGTGCGGCAGTCCCGGCAAACAGGGGACGGCTGTCGTGCGTCTTCCGGCATGCGCCGCCGGTGCAAGAGCACATATTCACCTGGGAGGAAAGGATGTTCAACGGCAGACTTCTGCAACTCCTCCAAAGCAATGTGCGGCCAGCGCTCAGCATAGCGTGGAACTCCCAGCAGGCGGCACAGTCGATGCTGCTGGGATGGACGGACTGCTGCATCCACTCCATCCGGGAGCTGTGGTAGCCCTTCTGCTTGGGCAGGATCGGTGAAGAGTAGCACCTTGTTCAACTCATGCGCCCAAAAACGTCGAGCGCACACCACACAGGCAGCTTCCATTCGGCCCTCCTCACTCGTGCCTGCAGGGCAACGCAAGCGCTCATCAAAGTTGGCAGCTATTGTCCTCTGTCTGCTCATACCTGGTACCTCAGCGATCATCCACGTTCGGACACACCAAATATGTATCACACATAAAATGCCATAAACAACAAAACACCTCCCATACAACACTATGACATATAAATCACCCACCTGACATGACAAGAAGCAGTTTTGTGTTCATAACATATAACGAGTTTGTCAAAGGCGACGCGACAATCGATATGCGAGCAGCGATAACATTTCCTTCACTCTAGGACACTGCTTTTCTGAGATGTAGTTCACCAACCACTATGCCCTACGCTTGTCATTGACTACTTGACTGTCTCACAGAAAAACCGGCCTACTCTCGCTTTTCAGCTCGCGACTGGCCTTTGTGCACCGAAAAGATTGTTTATGTCTAGTCCTTGTTGCGCTTCCGCAGAACGGCGTCCACACAGGAGTTGTCAGGAAAAAGTTACAACGTGAAACACCAAAATACGTCCAAGACATCGACCGAGACACAAGAGGTCCTGCGTGCTCAACAAGAGCGAGAATCTTCTTGCGATACTCAATCAGCATCCGGGGAGTATCTTGCAGCCCGACGCCAGCGTGCTCCTGTGCGACGTGCTCTTTGAAGGACTTTGCATCTGCGCAGTCGGTTGGACACAATCTACAGCAGAATTTCTGTAGGCAGTCACCTGCATCCTCAGGGAAAGATCGCAGTAAGCGCTTGGCTAAGGCTTCTTGCACACCAGAAAACGTGGGTGAACAGTCCAATCGTCTCGCGACTTGCTCGAGCTTCCACGTGACAGGGCGCTGTGTGTTGGTCAACAAATCAAGACACTCCATCTCGTCTGCTTCTGGCAACCAATGCTTACAGAAATCCTGCAAAGGATGAAACTCCTCCTTGCCCTTGCCCTCTTCTCTCCATCCAGGGATCGAAAACATCAGAGCACGTTCAGCTGCAGACCGCCAGAGTACACCACGCAGGGAATCGCCTTCCAAGGACAAACACTCAACTCTGTAACCCGGCAGCGGCGCAAAGTCTGGAGGATAAGCTTTCTGGAGGGTCCTCACACGCGCCTCCCTGCTGTTGAAATACTTGCCCACCCTCTTCGCCAAGTCTGCATGCTGCTTCTTCTCGGGCAACGAAGAACACCCGTGGAGATCTTGCCAGGCCAACAAGTCATCGTGCAAAGTAACCACCTCCTGGGCAATACCACTGCGGTCTAATCTCGACTCCAAAACGGTCACCGGATTGTGCCACGCACGCAAACTCTCACGACAAGCAGGGTGCAACAAGTGCGCGACCAGAAACCAAGCAAAACGAGACCAATCCTCTGCCTTCTTGACTGCTTCAAAGGTTTCCATCCACGTGCGCGCTGCGCTCTCGTCCAGATGTCTTTCCCAGCCATAGCGCCGCATCAAAGTGCGCAACAAGAGTTTGTCTGCCTCGTCATATCCACGACTCTTGTGCTTGTGCTTCAGTGCGCCCAAGACCGCCTGCGCAGAGAGACACGGGAAAAAGAACAAGCGAACGAACAACCAATCAAATCAGAAACTGTTTCTCCGAACCAAACGTCCACATAAACCTTGCAAAAGTCCCACGCTTTCTGCCGACCCACCTCCAAAACATCTTCTCGATCCTGGAAGCCACTGTCTGGCTCCACTGCTGGTCCAGCTTGATGACATGTGGCCAGGCTCCACAGTCGCTCTGCTACATCCACTGGATCTGCGCGATCCCAGCAATCCACCAACTGCCACCAACCTTGCGTCCAATATATTTTCGATGGAAACAGTCTATATGTTTGCGACCGAACAAAAGCCAAACAAACATCAGACCCCACAACACAATTCCGGTCCACACGCGCCCGGCCTCTGCGCTGTAGCGGCCGATTCTCCAACAACACAGCCAGCAAACTACTGCGCTGCAATCCAGACAAACGGTCTGGCCATCTGATGCTTTGCAGTTGTTCCATCGCAGTGGTCCAAGTCTCTGGCACTTCAGCTGGAAACTGAACATTCAAAGCAGAAAGGTGTTGCAAGACTGCAACGGTGGCCTGGCTCAATTGCTCCAGCTCCGCGGCCGCGCTTCCATGCCTCCTCTCAATACTTTCCAACGGAACATCTTCGCAAACACTAAGCATGGATCGCCGTAGCTGTGTCGCAGGAAAACTGACAGATGCCTTTGCTACGAGGTCTGCTGCAGGAACGGTCCGGCAATCTGCGAGCCAGCGCCAAAAGTGATACCTCACATCATCTTCCGCCCCGGGCGCTCGCAGCGGACAGAGCGACAGAACGATGCTATCCACCAGCCTGTTCCGATGCATATGCTCGCAAGGTAGGCCCAACTCCGAAGCTATATCCACCAAGGACGGCTCCGCGTTCCTCAGACGCACACCCCTCAGACGACCTCGGAGGGTCGGCGGCGCTTGGTCTCCCAGCTCCTGCGCCAAGCGTCGCAGTGACTCCGCAGTCACCGGTTCCTCCGCAGTGACGCTTGCGCAGATACATTCAACTTGGGTATCATTCAATTTACAGGGATATCAGAAGCAGACACCTATTGGACCGCAAGAAAACAGAGTCTCAACTAAGTTGAACTATACAGCTGCAAATCACACAACCGTCCTGAGCGTTCGGATGTCCCGGTTCCTGTCAGGGACTTTGCATGGATACCAAAGGCAGATACCCATCCCCGAATACAACCCTTCCTGCAAAGCGCAGCTTTCCACTATCGAGTCTAACTTCAACGCAAACAGCTTGTGTGCAAAGTTCAACACCGCTCTATGCCCATCCCCTTACTCCAGCCCTCCTGCGATGAGAAGCAGTCCACTATGGATTCCAGCAGCTGCTCCTTCCCAAGGGTTCCGCCGTCGCGCCTCTGCGGCAGCCCCAACATAGCGCACAGCCGTCGCAAGTCGGTGTAGTTCTTGGCCTCCAACTCGGTCCGCAACCACGCCGCGCCTCCCTCCCGGTGTCCGTCTCGCAGGCGCTGCGCCTCTGGCTCCTGCTGCCCTGCTTCCTGTATGGAAATTTGCAGGGGTATCAGAAGCAGACACCTAGTGGAGCACAAGAACACAGGGATTTTGCTTGGATACCAAAAGCAGAACACCCAGAGCTTGTGCGCAAAGTTAAACACCGCTCTACGCCCATCCCCTGACTCCATCCCTCCTGCGATGAGAAGCAGTCCACTATGGATTCCAGCAGCTGCTCCTTCCGAAGGGTTCTGCCGTCGCGCCTCTGCGGCACTTCCAACTTCGCGCACAGCTGCCGCAAGTCGGAAGTGCTCTTGGCCTCCAACTCAGTCCGCAACCATGCCGCGCCTCCCTCTCCATGTCCCTCTCGCAGGCGCTGCACCTCTGACTCCTGCTGCCCTGCTTCCTGTATGGGAATTTGCAGGGATATCAGAAGCAGACACCTATTGGACCACAAGAAAACAGAGTCTCAACTAAGTTCAACTATACACTGCACCCATCCCCTAACACAGATTGGGTGTCTTAACAAAGATTGAAAGTCTTATATCAAGATGTCTTTTGCTTGGTCGAATACATCTACACGTCACAAAACCATTGTAACCAAGGTTGAGTGTCTCAGAAAGCTTAGAATTCTTATATCTAGATATCTTTTCCTTACTCCAAGACAGCTACAAATCACGAAACCGTCCTCCATGTTCGGATGCGCCGGTTCCTGTCAGGGATTTTGCTTGGATACCAAAAGCACAACACCAAGAGCTTGTGCGCACAGTTCAACACCGCTCTACGCCCATCCCCTTACTCCAGCCCTCCTGCGATGAGAAGCAGTCCACTATGGATTCCAGCAGCTGCTCCTTCCGAAGGGTTCTGCTGTCGCGCTGCTGCGGCAGCCCCAACAAGGCGCACAGCCGTCGCAAGTCGGTGTAGTTCTTGGCCTCCACCTCGGTCCGCAACCACGCCGCGCCTCCCTCTCCATGTCCCTCTCGCAGGCGCTGCACCTCTGGCTCCTGCTGCCCTGCTTCCTGTATCGGAATTTGCAGGGATATCAGAAGCAGACACCTCTTGGAGCACCAGAAAACATTACACTAGGGGTATCCAACATTACACTGCACCCATCCCCTAACACAAATTGGGTATCTTAACAAAGATTGAAAGTCTTATATCTAGATGTCTTTCATGAAACCGTCCTCAACGTTCGGATGTGCCGGTTCCTGTCAGGGATTTTGCTTGGATACCAAAAGCAGACACCCATCCCCGAACACAACCCGCTCCAGCAAAGAGTAGCTTTCCACTATCGAGTCTAGCCGACGCCTACTGCAACATACACAGCTTGTGCACCACGCTACACTATACACTACGCCCATCCCCTGACTCCATCCCTCCTGCGATGACAAGCTCTCCACTATGGATTCCAGCAGCTGCTCCTTCCGAAGGTTTCTGCCGTCGCGCTTCTGCGGCAGCCCCAACATAGCGCACAGCTGCCGCAGGTCGGAAGTGCTCTTGGCCTCCAACTCGGTCCGCAACCATGCCGCGCCTCCCTCTCCATGTCCCTCTCGCAGGCGCTGCACCTCTGGCTCCTGCTGCCCTGCTTCCTGTATCGGAATTTGCAGGGATATCAGAAGCAGACACCTATTGGAGCACAAGAAAGCAGCGTCTCAACTAAGTTGAACTGTACACTGCACCCATCCCCTAACACAAATTGGGTATCTTAACAAAGATTGCAAGTCTTATATCTAGATGTCTTTCACGAAACCGTCCTCAACGTTCGGATGTGCCGGTGCCTGTCAGGGATTTTGCTTGGATACCAAAAGCAGACACCCATCCCCGAACACAACCCACTTCAGCACAAACAGCTTCTGTGAAAAGTTAAACACCGCTCTACGCCCATCCCCTGACTCCATCCCTCCTGCGATGAGAAGCTCTCCACTATGGATTCCAGCAGCTGCTCCTTCCGAAGGGTTCTGCCGTCGCGCTGCTGCGGTACTTCCAACTTCGCGCACAGCTGCCGCAGGTCGGAAGTGCTCTTGGCCTCCAACTCGGTCCGCAACCATGCCGCGCCTCCCTCTCCATGTCCCTCTCGCAGGCGCTGCACCTCTGGCTCCTGCTGCCCTGCTTCCTGTATCGGAATTTGCAGGGATATCAGAAGCAGACACCTATTGGAGCACAAGAAAGCAGCGTCTCAACTAAGTTGAACTGTACACTGCACCCATCCCCTAACACAAATTGGGTATCTTAACAAAGATTGCAAGTCTTATATCTAGATGTCTTTCACGAAACCGTCCTCAACGTTCGGATGTGCCGGTGCCTGTCAGGGATTTTGCTTGGATACCAAAAGCAGACACCCATCCCCGAACACAACCCACTTCAGCACAAACAGCTTCTGTGAAAAGTTAAACACCGCTCTACGCCCATCCCCTGACTCCATCCCTCCTGCGATGAGAAGCTCTCCACTATGGATTCCAGCAGCTGCTCCTTCCGAAGGGTTCTGCCGTCGCGCTGCTGCGGTACTTCCAACTTCGCGCACAGCTGCCGCAGGTCGGAAGTGCTCTTGGCCTCCAACTCGGTCCGCAACCATGCCGCGCCTCCCTCTCCATGTCCCTCTCGCAGGCGCTGCACCTCTGGCTCCTGCTGCCCTGCTTCCTGTATCGGAATTTGCAGGGATATCAGAAGCAGACACCTATTGGAGCACAAGAAAGCAGCGTCTCAACTAAGTTGAACTGTACACTGCACCCATCCCCTAACACAAATTGGGTATCTTAACAAAGATTGCAAGTCTTATATCTAGATGTCTTTCACGAAACCGTCCTCAACGTTCGGATGTGCCGGTGCCTGTCAGGGATTTTGCTTGGATACCAAAAGCAGACACCCATCCCCGAACACAACCCACTTCAGCACAAACAGCTTCTGTGAAAAGTTAAACACCGCTCTACGCCCATCCCCTGACTCCATCCCTCCTGCGATGAGAAGCTCTCCACTATGGATTCCAGCAGCTGCTCCTTCCGAAGGGTTCTGCCGTCGCGCTGCTGCGGTACTTCCAACTTCGCGCACAGCTGCCGCAGGTCGGAAGTGCTCTTGGCCTCCAACTCGGTCCGCAACCATGCCGCGCCTCCCTCTCCATGTCCCTCTCGCAGGCGCTGCACCTCTGGCTCCTGCTGCCCTGCTTCCTGTATCGGAATTTGCAGGGATATCAGAAGCAGACACCTATTGGAGCACAAGAAAGCAGCGTCTCAACTAAGTTGAACTGTACACTGCACCCATCCCCTAACACAAATTGGGTATCTTAACAAAGATTGCAAGTCTTATATCTAGATGTCTTTCACGAAACCGTCCTCAACGTTCGGATGTGCCGGTGCCTGTCAGGGATTTTGCTTGGATACCAAAAGCAGACACCCATCCCCGAACACAACCCACTTCAGCACAAACAGCTTCTGTGAAAAGTTAAACACCGCTCTACGCCCATCCCCTGACTCCATCCCTCCTGCGATGAGAAGCTCTCCACTATGGATTCCAGCAGCTGCTCCTTCCGAAGGGTTCTGCCGTCGCGCTGCTGCGGTACTTCCAACTTCGCGCACAGCTGCCGCAGGTCGGAAGTGCTCTTGGCCTCCAACTCGGTCCGCAACCATGCCGCGCCTCCCTCTCCATGTCCCTCTCGCAGGCGCTGCACCTCTGGCTCCTGCTGCCCTGCTTCCTGTATCGGAATTTGCAGGGATATCAGAAGCAGACACCTATTGGAGCACAAGAAAGCAGCGTCTCAACTAAGTTGAACTGTACACTGCACCCATCCCCTAACACAAATTGGGTATCTTAACAAAGATTGCAAGTCTTATATCTAGATGTCTTTCACGAAACCGTCCTCAACGTTCGGATGTGCCGGTGCCTGTCAGGGATTTTGCTTGGATACCAAAAGCAGACACCCATCCCCGAACACAACCCACTTCAGCACAAACAGCTTCTGTGAAAAGTTAAACACCGCTCTACGCCCATCCCCTGACTCCATCCCTCCTGCGATGAGAAGCTCTCCACTATGGATTCCAGCAGCTGCTCCTTCCGAAGGGTTCTGCCGTCGCGCTGCTGCGGTACTTCCAACTTCGCGCACAGCTGCCGCAGGTCGGAAGTGCTCTTGGCCTCCAACTCGGTCCGCAACCATGCCGCGCCTCCCTCTCCATGTCCCTCTCGCAGGCGCTGCACCTCTGGCTCCTGCTGCCCTGCTTCCTGTATCGGAATTTGCAGGGATATCAGAAGCAGACACCTATTGGAGCACAAGAAAGCAGCGTCTCAACTAAGTTGAACTGTACACTGCACCCATCCCCTAACACAAATTGGGTATCTTAACAAAGATTGCAAGTCTTATATCTAGATGTCTTTCACGAAACCGTCCTCAACGTTCGGATGTGCCGGTGCCTGTCAGGGATTTTG